GGGGGGGGGGGGGGGGGGGGGGGGGGGGGTTGTGAGGGGTTTCCTCTTGATATGTCGAGTGATGCTTGACGCAGCTTTTTACTTTTATTTTTATTTTTTATTTTTTTTCCAGGTCATGAAATCGTACGGCTGCTGGCTGTCCAGGCGTTGGTAGTACTAATAGTAATACTGCCTGCTAATGATACTGAAGTATGACTGTATTACTCCGTATTACCGCGGGCAGTATCTTACTATTACTACGGAATAATAATATTGCATGTTCATATATCATTACCAGTACGGAGTACAGATTATTACAGCAGAGTACGTCGGTCACCAGTGGGGAGGGGGGGGGGCTCAGTATACTCAGCAGTGTACTCAGCAGTGTACTCAGCCATGTAAGCTGTACGGATTACAGATTACAGATTACTATTTGTACATGTGTACGCAGTATTTACACCAACTCTTGGCCGAGTCCGGCTTATAGCAGCAGCAGCAGCGAAGGGTGCCACTCGCTGTCAGGTACACGGCGACATCAGCTCTCTTCGTGTCCTTGCATCCGATAATCCTGATCAGTATTTCCCAATGATTTGAATAGGGCTGATTGGCTCAACCATCAGATCACGGCGTCCCCCTATTTCCCGTAAACACATGTATATAAGCACATATATATAAACACACATATATCTGCCGAGCTCTGAATACAGCATGCTACCCTATACGTGTAAAAGTAGCAACGACGAGTCAAGGTATCAATCATGATATATGGGGGGGTTACTGACAGACGAGAAGCAATGTGTACTCCCCTGTAATTGTAAAAAAAAAAAAAAAAAAAAAAGACTTGACAACGGTTGTGCCGCGTTCAGTTTGACGGAGTGATGAAGACAGTGATATGACTGAGTGAATGCCCTCGGAGCAGTTGATGGTGGTCGGAGCGAAAAGTCACAAGCATGACTCATATCTCGTATATAAAAAATGTGGTCATGTATTATTGCATCTCCTTTATCTCCCGTTTCCATCATCGACGACGACAAAAAGTCGCATTGGAAAGCGACAGACAGATCTCTCCCAGATCTCTCCCAGATCTCTCTCCCAGATTCTCCTTCTCTCTCTCTCTCTCCATTCATCACCAATTGCCCAACACCGAGTCCTACACACCAAACAAGAAGACAACGCATAATGTCGCCATTCAATATCGAGACGTGTGCACGTCCTAATATTCTGACTCTGCAGCCATACCGCTGTGCGAGAGAGTATGTTTCCTCCCATTATCCATCCATCCATTTTCCATTTTTTCTTCTTCTTCAGTACCCCTCCCCCCCGCACACCCCTCCATCCTTGTGATCCTTCAAAATTTAAACCCCCCCCCCCTCCTCCCTCAAAAAAAAGAGAAATTGAGTAGAGAAAAAAAAATTAAACCCAAGAGAAGTAGAAGAAGAACTGACAAGAAACGAAAACAAAAAAAGCGATTACAAAGACGACGGGACAAACGTCCTGCTCGACGCCAATGAGAATGCCCACGGCCCTTCCCTCGATCCCGACTCGACTCGCGTAGCCTCCGTCTGGCAAGAGACGAGCGATGTCGACCTCGACCTCCTCCGGCTGAACCGGTACCCGGACCCCCACCAGCGCGACCTGAAGCAGAAGCTGTGCGACCTCCGCGGACCCGACGTCCTGACGCCGGAGAACCTGTTCGTGGGCGTGGGCAGCGACGAGGCCATCGACGCCCTGCTGCGGTGCTTCTGCGTCCCCGGCCGGGACAGCATGCTGACCTGCCCGCCGACGTACGGCATGTACTCGGTGTCGGCGCAGATCAACGACGTGTCCATGGTCAAGGTCCCGCTCCTGCCCGCCCCGACGTTCGGCCTCGACGTCGAAGCCGTCATGAAGGCCCTCTCGTCATCGTCGCCGTCGGCCGTCAAGCTCGTGTACCTGTGCTCGCCGGGGAACCCGACCGGATCCCTCCTGGCGCGCGACGACATCGAGCGCATCCTCTCGCACCCGACGTGGAACGGCGTCGTGGTCGTGGACGAGGCCTACATCGACTTCGCGCCCGAGGCTTCCTCGGCCGCCCCCCTCGCGGCCCGGTACCCCAACCTGGTCGTCATGCAGACCCTCTCCAAGGCCTTCGGCATGGCCGGCATCCGCGTCGGCGCCGCCTTCACGTCCCCACCCATCGCGTCGCTGCTCAACAACCTCAAGGCCCCCTACAACGTGTCCAGCCCGTCGAGCGCGCTCGCCGCCGCCGCCCTCGCCCCCGCCGGCCTGGCCGTCATGCGCGCCAACCGTGACCGCACCACCGCCCAGCGCGACCGCCTCGTGCGCGAGCTCCGCGGCATCCCCGGGGTGGGCCGCCTGCGCGGCGGCACCGACAGCAACTTTCTCCTCTACGAGATCCTCAACGCCGCCGGCGAGCCCGACAACGGCACCGCCCTCGCCGTGTACGAGCATCTGGCCGAGAGGAAGGGCGTGGTCGTGCGCTTCCGCGGAAAAGAGCACGGCTGCCTGGGCTGTCTGCGCATCACGGTCGGCACCGAGGACGAGGTCAGCCGCTTCCTCGATGCTCTGCGCACCGTCTTGGTCGAGGTCAGGGGGGCGTAGATTGGTCTGCTTCGCAACGTAATAGAATTTTTTTTTTTTTAAAAAAAGTAGCATTTTTAATGACATTGGAACTTTCATATACAAAATACATATAAAAAAGAAAGGAGAGGCGCTGCCGAGTATATATATTTCGTCTGTCTGATTTCAACGTTGCAAATGGGTCGAGACGTTTCACATTTGTTTGTCATGAAGAGGAATCATCTTCCTCTCTTCGTTTCCAAGAACTATGCAATTTTTATTCTTCATTTTTCGTTTTTCATTTTTATTTCATCAATTTTTTATTTTCCGTCTAGATACGTCACTGAACAAGATACTCTACCTAGTTACCCGTCCTGTACGGGTCGACAGCAGCCCAGTTGACGTGACGGACAGTGTGGATGTCATCACCCCGCAGAGGCGGCTCGGCCTTGTCAGCCAGGAGACCCTGGATGGTCTCGAGGGCGGTCATCTGAGGACCCAGGCCGACGTGGCCGTCGTAGGCGCCCGTGTACCACTTCATGCCGCAGGCGGTGCCCGAGTCGCCCCCCGTGCAGGTGGCGGCGGCGGCCTTTGCCGAGGTGCCGAGTAGCCTGTGGACCTTGGGCTTGAGGTCGGGCAGCATGACGGAGGCCTGCCACATGTTGCGGGCGAGGTAGGCCTTGTGCGTCTCCATGTCGGCGTTGCACGAGTTGTCCGGCTCGCAGGCGCCCTCGTACATGATGTCGGTGGCGTTGGGATAGGGGCCGAAGAACCACTCCGCGCCGTCGAGGAGGCGGGCGGCGCGGACGGCCCAGACGTTGCTGCCGCGGTCGTCGGTGGCCCCGGCGTCGCCGGCGGTGTGGTTGGCCATGACGGCGGCGCCGTACAGGTAGACGCCGCTGGTGTAGGTGTAGGACGAGCGGCTGAGCTGCGAGCAGTCCTGGTCGGCGCCGGCGCCGTCCCAGACGTGCCACGAGTCGTGGTCGATGAAGCCGACGTCCCACGACCAGTCCCAGACCTTGGCGGCCCAGTCGGCGTAGGTGGCGTTGGAGGTGGCGCGGGCCAGGCGCGAGGCGATCTGGAAGAAGCCCCCGTTGGTGATGGAGTTGCGGTAGTCCATGCCGTTGGGGTTGTCCGGGTAGATCTGCCAGGCCAGGCCGCCGCCGCGGCAGGCCGTCGTGTTCCACCGGCTGCGCAGCGATTCGAAGACGTTGGCGCCGATGTCGAGCCAGGACGGGATCGACTCGTCCGGCTGCGGGAAGTTGCGCTCCGCCGCCGCCAGCGCCGCCGACCCCCAGAAGTAGAGGTCGTCGTTGCCCTCCTCGGAGGCGTGCTCGGGCGGTACGTAGTCGAAGTTGGGCCCCAGGTTGTGCGGAGACGTCAGCGCCTGCAGGACCTCGTCGTTGTAGCTCGCGTCCTCGGTGTAGTGGTAGTAGTCCAGCATGCCGCCCCAGAGCGCGCCGGCCACCCACCAGTAGTACGGGTCTGACAGGTCCCCGACCGCCACCGACGTGGCTGACGACGTGTTGCCCTTGTAGTACGTCATGGCGTCTCTGGCGATGGTGGCGGCCACATTGCGGATCGAGTCTGGTGGGTGTCAGCCATGATCGTCGACGGGAGATGAGGGTGAGAATGGCGGTCCGTCTGTTCTTTCGACTTACAGTCCTTCTGGATATCGAGCGATGTGGGCATCATGATATTCCGAGGAACAGCAGTGGCCAAGCCAGCCAGGGCTGCCATGTGCCAGACGCCCATCATTTTTGGGTCCTTCGGGGGGGGGTTCTTCCCAGTTGCTATACAAGGACGAGATGGAGAGAGATGGAGAGAGACGGTGAGAGATGGAGAGAGCCGAGGGAGTGTAGAAGAAGAAGGAGAAGAAGGAGAAGGAGAAGGAGAAGAAGGAGAAGAAGAGGAGAAGGAGAAGAGTGCTCGACCGGCGAGGGAAAGAGGGAAAGAATGAATATAAAGAGAGGGATGGATGTGCAATATGTATGAGGTGCAAAGAGCGTGAACGTCAAAAAGAAGAAGAAGAGCAGCACAGGTAAGAGAGAATCATGTTTTGAGACAGAACAGGGCGCGCTTTGGACGTGTATGTGAATGGATCATTCCTGTCCGCCCTTCCAGCCCCGGATATCCCCAGGGGACCAAGTATTTGATACGGAGTACACGGAGTACAGCATTACAGCATCGCATAGCAATGCCATCATTACCGACCGATACAGAACCCTTACAAGGGTCCATTAGACACGTTCAGGGCAGTTGGTCGGGGGATCTGGACCCCTCCACACACACTCTTTCTTCTCTTATTTCCCCGCCTCCCCGAGCGATGTCATGACGCTACCTTTTTCTTCTTCTTCTATCATTTATCTATCTGTCTATTTTACTTTTCGAATCAGGGCTATTCCATCTTGTACTTTTCATGACGATAGTGTAAGAGTTTCATGGCTCTGAGTAATAGCAGCAGCAGCAGCAGTGGTAAACATCGTCGTCTATAGACTCCATCATACAGCAAGTCATGCTCCGTAGATGACAGTCTCCATCTACTCTTGAAACTTTTCCCATCAGGCTTACCGTAAAAGTGTCAAGAGCCCTGCAGACGTTGGAGCTGCCTCCTTCCGGTTCTACTCCTCTCCTTCTCCTCGATAGAAGGAAAGAAGGGGGAAAAAAAGAAAGGGTCGTAGATGCCGAGAGAAAGACGGAGAAGAAGGAAGAGAGGAAGGAAGAGAAGAAGGAAAGAGGGAGAGAGAAGAAAGAAGAGAGAGTCTGAAATACCGACCAACACCTACCCGTACCGCAGGGAATATAAAAAAGGGTCGTCGACGTATCCGACGTCCGTAACACGTATTATTCCTCACCCGTACACGTTGACTCAGTGTCAGCCAGTCGATTCCGATCCAAGCATGAAAACCTGAAACGACACCGACCGTGGTTAAATCGTGATTCATGATAAAATCGTACCTGCTGGACCCGACCTCCCCATCCTCCCCTTCACGGTGGGCCCCCCCCCCCCCTGCAAGGTCATGATCGGCAGAGAGAACCCAAGGTTGGGAAAGATGGTGTGGCAGATCAGGGGGGATCTTCTTTTTCTTTCTCNGGGGGGGGGGGGGAGTCTAAAAGCGGTGATTACGAGGATTGATACTGTTACGTATATCCCGTACTCTGTTCTGTACTCCGTATTGATGCATAGGGGACTTGAGAGAGGGAGAGCGAGAGAGGGAGAAAAGGACGGAAAAGTACCCATTTATCCATGTGCTGCTGCGTGCCAAGAATTCCCATCTCCGCCAACGGCTTGGCCTTCATCTCCGGTCTTTTATTCGTCTCTGCTACTATCGTACTCGTACTGTGATGTATTGTTTCTTACCCGGTCTGGGATACCTCTCTGTAATAGTTGTACATGTATCATTATCACTCTCATAATAATCTCTATAACAACATGTATAGTAATAATGCTGCGCCCTACAATGTAATAACAGTATTGATACTAATGTAATACTACTCGTACGGATAATAATACTATCTGAGTCCGTACTCCGTACTCTGCGATACGGAATGCCGAGCATCATTATTACCAGCTAGCCAAGAATCCTCCAAGGTCAACAACAACTCTTTCTTTACATGTCTCTTTACATGTACGATATTGCAACCCCATGAGAATATCATACCCCTCTCCCCCCCCCCCCCCCCCCCCCCCCCCCCCCCCCCCAGGGGGGCCCCCCCCCCCCCCCCCCTGCAAGGTCATGATCGGCAGAGAGAACCCAAGGTTGGGAAAGATGGTGTGGCAGATCAGGGGGGATCTTCTTTTTCTTTCTCTTTTTCACTTCCATACCCCCCTCTCTCTCTCCTGGATCTTTTTCGAGTAGAAAGTCGATGTATTTTTTTCAACTCTAGCCATTCTTCATGGATTTGCTGCTGATGCTGCTAATACTGCTCTGCGTATGGATGTAATCAGTACCACTACTAGGAGTAGCATTCAGTCACAGCTCTCGACAGACGATTCATGCTCAGCTCGCCCCGGATTGATGCAATGCTCGAATTATCCAGCGTCATACACTAGATGTTTGTAAACTCTCAGGATAGTACTGGTAGTGGTGAAAAATAATATCGCCGGATAATACTGGTAGCGATGGAGAGGAAATGCTTCAAAACGCCCGCCCGAATGTACAATGCAGTGGAGAATAGTAAAGAAGAAGAAGAAGAACAGAGAGACAGAGAGACAGAGACAGAGAAAGAGAGTAAAAAAGCCACCAACTTACTCAGGTGGTCATAACGCCAAAAGAAGGAGAGACAAAAAGAGAGTCGCTGATGTTTTTCCACCTCCCAAACTTTTCCATCTTTGTTATATCTTTCTTTCTTTTTTTTTTAGTTTTGTTTTTAGGTGGTTTTTTTATATGACCCATGGTGACGATATCCATCATCTGCTTCTGGGGAGAACCTTCATCCTCCACTCTCCTATCGCCAGATATGAATGCTGACGTTGTTGGCCAAGTCATGCCGTAGGACAAATCATATTTCCGTCGCTTCATATCCGGCCGTCATCATCGATCCGGGACACGAACCTCCTCCCCACCCATGACCCTCTTGAGTGGTGGTGCCCACATGTGAAGAGGAGGAGGAGGAGGAGGAGGAGGAGGAGGAGAAAGAAAAGGGGGGGGGGGGGGGGAGATGATACCGCAAAAGATGTGATCGATGGCAATTCTTCCGATGCTTTCCCACATCTCTCATCTGTACCTACCTCCCTCAGACGGACACGAAGCCTGCCGCGAGAAGGAGAGAGCCGAGAGAGGCTGCCGAGACGGACCACAAGCTGAGCGTAGGTCGCGTCCCCGCATTCGTGGGTTCGGGCGTATAGTAGAACTCGTTCGATGTCTGGGCCGTAGGCGAACCCGACGAGGAGCTACCGTCGTCGGTGGCCGTTGCTGGGAGGTCGACCAAGGTCAGCGTGCCCCACTGCACGGCCGATCCGGACAGGGTCGAGGTCCAGTTGATCTTGGTCGATTGGCTCGGTGGGCCGGGTGGGAATCTGGGGCCGTAGCTCGAGTAGCCCGAGCATGTGGCTTCAGTGGTTCCGACGAGGTCGCATCCCAGGTAGGCGGTACTTTTTCTCGGGGGGGGAGTGGTTTGTTTCGGTCAAGTCAGTCCCCATGTGCTCGCTCGGCAGGAGTTGGACCCGGCAAGGGTTGAACTCGGCAAGAGTTGGACTCGGACGACGTACAATTGTGAAGTGATGGATCCCGACCAGTGCACCGTTCCGGGTCCGTTGACGATGATGAAGGGGATCTCGACATTGAGATCGCAGGTCGGCTGCGTGGCAGAAGGGCAGAAGATGGTGTACGTCGTCTCGTTGGCGGTGGAGTCCTGTTTTCCCAATCATCTCTCGTCAGCTCACTGTCCGGTTCCTCGTCAAGAAGGGACGCCTGGCTGCCGACGAGGCGTCACGCTCGGGCGCGGAGAGCAAGGCCGGGAAGGACGGGCGAGACGTACGATCCCTAGGATGCTCCCCCGCACAGGCTTCCAACTCTCATTATTGTAATGCGGCAGGTAGACGGGCGCTGTGGTGATCGTGGGAGCGGGTGTCGCCGCCGCCGCCGCCGTCATCGTGTCCGACGAGCCGCCATCGGCGCGCGCCGACGTGGCAAACAGCGACAGCGACAGCAGCACGGCCGCGGCCAACGACGACAGCGGATGCGTGCGAGGTCGGCTGTCGCAACTGCACCCTGGCTGTTGTTGGGCGCAGGAATCGGCCATCCTCCTCCTCCCCATGACCGACTTGAGTCCCCCCTCCCCCCCCCGGAGGAAGAGAGGTCGAGGCAGGGTGAGAGGGATGCAGATCCCTCCCCTTCGGAGTCCCCTCCTTCTGTATCTTGGTTGGCTATGGACCCGGTGGGTTACAAGGGGAGAGGGCGCGGCGCGACGACGGTCCGAAGGTAGGATAGGCGAGGTTGAAAGGGAAAAACCCCCCCCCTCCAAAAAAAAAAAAAAATCAAACCCCGAAAGAGAAAAAAAATGAAAACCCGCCAAACCGGAGCCAGGACCTGGGTGGTATGGATGGTATTGTCCGTATAAGAAGGTTCGATTCTCGAAATGAGAAAAATTGACGAATGTGATTGTCGAAAGAGTTGGTGGGTGGAGAAGGGGTGATGTGGTCCCAGTCGAGTTTCTGGTCCGTCGTCTCCGTGGCAGGGAATGTTTATTCGTCGGTCCGTCGCAGCAGAATGGACAAGATGGGTCGTGTCTTCGGTCAGGTTGCGCGTAGCAGAAGTGGGATGCTGGTCGAGAGTGGAGGAAGGATGAGGGAGAGCAGAAGGAGGGTAGAGGGAGAGAGAAGGAGAAGGAGAAGGAGAAGGAGAAGGAGAAGAAGAGTGAGCTTACGAGATCCCGACAGAGTACGGAGTGATTAATATATTAGTAGTATGATTAGTATGATTGGTATTATCAGTTGAAGAATGAATGACTGTGCAGATTACAGATACTCCCATCCGCCTCTCTCTTCTCTCTCTTCTCCCTCTTCTCTTGAAAGGCAGGAGTTTGCGAGCGTGCCAAGTGCCAAGAGTCGAGATGGTACCGACTCTGGACCTTGTGATTGCTTGGCCAAGAAGCTGAGTCCAACAAAACGAGTCCTTTGTAGCCAAGAGGAGGGGGGGATGGGAAGAGTCCAGACTGTAGTTTCTTAATTTTTTTTCTTTCCTTTCATTTGTTCAGTCTTTGCTCATTCATGCTTTTGTCTCTCTCTCTCTCTCTCTCCCTCTCCCTCTCCCTCTAACTCGCTCACTTTTCTCTCTCTCGCACACACAGTCTGCCTTTCTTTTCCACCTGATTAGAAGGTGTAGGATGATAGTGTCCTGAAACCTCTCTCCTTCT